CCCTTAAATCTCCAAGAAGTCACTAACCTAGAGGTGGCAACTCTAGGCTGTGAAATGAAGAAGGAGGAGGAGGAGGAGGAGGAGAAGAAGGAGGAGGAGGAGGAGGAGGAGGGGAAGAAGAGGAGGAGGAGATTGGATTTATACCCCGCCCTTCACTACCCAAAGGAGTCTCAGAGCGGCTGACAATTCCCTTCCCTTCCCCTCCCCACAACAGACACCCTGTGAGGTAGGTGGGGCAGAGGTTTATTAATCAACTTCAGAGCCAGGTGTGCTGTAACCTAACTAGCCAAACTTAGTGGACTGGCCTGTATTCCGCCAACGATTCTAACCACAGCTAGTTTATGCAACCTCTGATTTTGTGTGATGTCTGAACAGAGACAGAAAGTCACTGGAAGTTGCTGGGTTTTGAATTTGTAGCTTGGTGCCCTGGAGAACTTCATGACCATGTAGAAATCCCCCCTAATAAATCATAGACTCATAGAGCTGGAAGGGACCTCCAGGGTCACCTAATCCAACCCCCTGCACAAGGCAGGACATTCACAAATACCTCCCTCCACACACACACACCCAATGACCCCTGCTCCATGCCCAGAAGATGACAAAAAAACCCTCCTCAGGATCCCTGGCCAAACTGTCCTGGAGAAAAATGGCTTCCTGACCCCAACGTGGCGATCGTCCTTTCCCTGGGTGTGTAAGAAAGGGTCACGAGAACTAAGCACTGAGGCAACCCTTCCTGCCCTCCCTCTCATGATCTGCCTACGTTCATGATCTGCCTAAAACGAATACATTAGTCCCTACAAACAAGTAAATCTGAAACATATTTTCCAGACTCAGAGGAAGTGCTCAATATGCCGGAAGGAACCCTTCACACATTACACATTACAGTTCTGGGCATCATCTGACGGTACAGCATAAACTGCCTAGAAGGGTCAAGTGCGAATACCAAACACATCTTTGCAAATGTGTGCATCAGGCAGGGACACATGAGAAGCTCACACCAGATTCCCACTTTGCCAAGTGTGTGCCTGGGATTGCTGCGCATTATGTGGGAAGTAGAGTCTGGGAACCTTTCTCACAATACAAGAACTCGTGGGCACTCCATGAAATTGCTGAGCGGCCGGGTTAGAACGGATAAAAGGAAGTCCTTCTTCACCCAAAGAGTGATTAACACTTGGAATTCACTGCCACAGGAAGTGGTGGCGGCTACAAGCATGGACGGCTTCAAGAGGGAATTAGGTAAGCATATGGAGCAGAGGTCTATCAGTGGTTATGAGCCACAAGGTATAGATAGGGACTCTGGGGCAAGTGATGCTCTGTCATCTTGGTGCTTGGGGGGGGGGGGTCAACAGTGGGATGGCTTCTAATGTCCTGGCCCCACTGGTGGACCTGGTATTTCTGGCCACTGTGTGATACAGAGTGTTGGACTGGATGGGCCTTTGGCCTGATCCAACATTGGCATCTCTTATGTTCTTATGTGCTTAACCCAGTCACTGCTCTACAGCCACCAATGCAGGATTTAAATCAAGGGTCCCCAACCTTTTCTGAACCTGTGGGCCCTTCTGGGATTCCGACACAGGGTGGTGGGCGGAGCTACAAAATGGCTGCCGTGGGAGGTGGGGCCAACTAGAAAATGGCCGCTGCAACAGGAGGAGTCATGCATACAAGAACTTGCGGGTACTCCGTGAAATTGCTGAGCAGTTGGGTTAGGACAGATAAAAGGAAGTCCTCCTTCACCCAAAGAGTGATTAACAGATGGAATTCACTGCCTCAGGCAGTGGTGGTGGCTACAAGCAGGGACGGCTTCAAGAGGGAACTGGATAAACATATGGAGCAGAGGTCTATCAGTGGCTATTAGCCACAAGGTATAGGTAGGAACTCTCAGGCTGGGGCAAGGGATGCTCTGTATTCTTGGTGCTTGTGGGGGGGGGGGGCAACAGTGGGAGGGCTTGTACTGTCCTGGCCCCACTGATGGGACCCCCTGGTGGCACCTGGTATTTTTGGCCACTGTGTGACACAGAGTGTTGGACTGGATGGGCCGTTGGCCTACTCCAGCATTGGCTTCTCTGATGTTCTTATGCACACAGAGGAAGCCCCAGTATAGGGGAGAAAGAGGGATAATTTTAAACATACACTGAGGAAGAGCAGTGAGACAATAAAGGCAGTAGTGCAGTGGCAGCTGCAGCTGAAACAACGCTGTTTTAACCTGATTTAATCAGATGTCCAGCGGCCAATCAGAAGCCCTCCTAGGGCAAGAACGCCTCATGGGCTCCACCCGCTTTCTAAAAGCACTTGTTGGACACCTGGAAAGGTGTCAGCGGGTGCCATATTGCCCACGGGTAAGAACATAAGAACATAAGAGACGCCAATGTTGGATCAGGCCAAAGGCCCATCCAGTCCAACACTCTGGGTCACACAGTGGCCAGAAACACCAGGTGCCATCAGGAGGTCCACCATTGGGGCCAGGACATTAGAAGCCCTCCCACTGTTGACCCCCCCAAGCACCAAGATGACAGAGCATCACTTGCCCCAGAGTCCCTATCTAGACCTTGTGGCTAATAGCCACTGATGGACCATAGCCACTGATGGACCTCTGCTCCATATGCTTATCTAATTCCCTCTTGAAGCCGTCCATGCTTGTAGCCGCCGCCACTTCCTGTGGCAGTGTACTATGTTGCAGACCCCTGACAATGCTCCCTCTAAGCTGTGGAGTCTTGTGAGCAAAGATTCTACTTTGTGAGCTGCTGGCATTAAAGTTGTGAGCGAGTGATTTGGCTACTGCATTAATCAGTTCGCTCCGGAGCCCTCCTTCCTGAGCTAAGACAAACATTCGTGAGCCGGAGGCTAAAAAGGGTGAGCTAGCTCACACAAACTCAGCTTAGAGGGAACACTGCTGCAGGCCCTAACTTAATTCACGCAAGGGTGAAACAAGCGTCATTATAAGCGAGCTGCTCACCTTCGGCAAGTCGACAGCCACGTTCTGCCTCTCGGTCTGATCACTTTTAAGCTTGGATACCGTCTCGTTCAACTGGGTTTTCAGCTGAAAGAGACAAGAGAGGGCCCAGTTGAACACAACCTCCGTGGGTCACGGCGCTGCTTGGGACGGATACGAGACAATGGTTTAGAACAACGGGAATTAGTAGATGCAGACTACGGAGGACATTTGGCGGAAGGAGGTTCCGCCCGCAAAGTTGATGAAAGGGGACAAACATCTGCAGAAGTCTAAAACAGGGGGTTTAGAAACAGGACGAGGGGATCTAAATTGCTTTTAACGCCTCACTGGTGTCCCCGGAAAAATCACACAAAGGTTTTTTTCACAAGTATTCACCCACTGCGCTGGACCAACGCTGGTTGGTTAAAGGACTTCTCAGCCTACAGAAAAGCAAGATGACTCAAGCCGATGATGCTCGCCCTCCTCCCAGGGACTGGGTAAGCTCCCCGTTAAAAAAAAATAAGTCACTGAGCAGTTCTGGTATCTCCACCATCTTCTGCAGAACCCGTCAGAGACTGCTCATTCTAGCCTGACCTGGATAGCCCAGGCAAGCCCGATTTCATCACATCTCAAAAGCTAACAAAACTGAGGGGTTACAGCTAGTGTAGAGAACCAAAAATATAGAAGCTTTAATGATGTAAGGGTAAAGGTTCCCTTGCTCGAAAGCCAGTCGAATCCGACTCTAGGGTTGCAGTGCTCATCTCCGTTTCAAAGCCGAAGAGCCAGCGCTGTTGGAAGACGTTTCCGTGGTCATGTGGCCGGCATGACTAAAACACCAAGGCGCACGGGACGCTGTTACCTTCCCACTGAAGCGGTACCTATTTATCTACTTGCAATTTCTTGCTTTCGAACAGCTAGACTGGCAGGAGCTGGAACTAGAGACGGGAGCTCACTCCGTCATGTGGCATCCGGGTCTTGAACTGCTGAACTACTGACCTTCCACAGCCTGCAGTTCAGCGTCTTAACCACTTGAGCCACCGCAGCTCCTTTTTGTAATGATGTACAAAACGCTTATAATCTCACAATAATGATACAAAAACAAACAGTCAAATTGAAAAATATTAATTCACAACAGGTATCAGAAAGATGGACGAACTTCTCCGGAGTTTTGGCATTCGTTTCGTGAAGCACTTCTTCCAAACATCAAGATGTGCTATACGCAACATAATATGCAACATGATATACAAAATGTGTACCATAGTGTCTACACTATGTATGTATACAAGCTTTATACAAATATTTATTGCCCAAACACTGCCTGTACAATGGTTCACATTTTGTATCTCATGTTGCATATTATGTTTCGTATAGCACATTTTGATGTTTGGAAGACGTTCTTCACGAAACGAATGCCAAAACTCTGGAGACGTTCGTCCATCTTTCTGATACCTGTTGGGAATTAATATTTTTCAATTTGACTGTTTGTTTTTGTATCATTATTGTGAGATTATAAGCGTTTTGTACGTCATTTGTTGTTGTTGTTCAGTCGCACAGTTGAGTCCGACTCTTCGTGACCCCATGGAATAGATCCCACCAGGCCTTCCTGTCTTTCGCCGTCCTCTGAAGTTTGCTCAATTTTATGTTCGTTGCATTACAGCTTCTATATTTTTAGATCTCAAAAGCTAAGCAGAGTCGACTCTGGCAAGTCCTTGGATGGGAGGCCTCCTTGGAATACCAGCAGTCGGGAGGCGGGGGCAGGCTTTACTCAGCCACCTCTCTGGATATCCTCCAGGCCCCCAGGAGGGGTCAGGCACCAGAGGTCGCCGTGACTTCCAGGTGCACACATATGAAGACTAACAAAATACGTGGCAGGGTATGAGCTTTCGTGGGTCACTGCTCACTTCTTCAGCGGTGACTCACGAAAGCTCCTCCCCCGCCACATATTTTGTCAGCCTTTAAGGTGCTCCTGGACTCTTGCCCTTTTCTACCGCTACAGACAGACTAACACGGCGACCCATCTCCATCTATGCACATATGGTGTCCGGGCACAACATCGGAGGCGGAACAGACGTCGGCGGAGAGGCGGAGCCAGGACGACACGAGAGTGTGGATGGCGCAGGCGGGGCGGAGCCGCGAGGACTGAGTCAAGGCCGCGCTGGAGCATGCCGCGTGACAGAAGGGCCCGACCGATCCGCCACTGAAAGACCGCCGGAAAGGAAAAAAGGAGCCAGAAGCCGAGTGACGCCGAAGTCGACGTAGCCGACCCGGGAGAAAAAGATCGACTAACCCCTCCACTGGGTGCCGGTAGGGATTGTCCCCACCCCTAATAATTGTGGTTAGGGATAAATGAGTAACTGTAGCCGCTCAGAGACCCCTTAGGGGGTTCGAGCGGGGTAGTAAGTTGAAATAAATAAATAAAATATGAAAAATACAACCCGCCCCCCCCAGAAAAAGTCTGCTTGTTCTCTTCCCAATAGTCCTTTAAAAAAAAAAAAAAGGGACTATTCTCCTCTTCTCCATCTCAGGATCATCACAATTTAACTCTTGTCCCTGCCTACACTTGAGGTTTTACAGGATGTGATTAAATGGAGACACACCCCCCCCTTGGGCAGACAGCATCTCCATGTGAGAAGGACGCAGGGGAAGGTCACCCTGGGATATGCCATTCCCCTGTCTCAAAGGATGCCGTGACTTTAATGTCAGCTTCTCCTCACGGAATCTCAAACCCTGGTTCTCACTTCTAGAAGACGCCAGAGCCAACAGGATTCCTAGTATAGAAGCTTCCCAGGGATCTCAGAAAGAGAGCTTGGACTCTTCGAAGCTCATCCCCTGAAAACCGTGTTGTGTCTCTAAGGGGCTCCTGGATTCGAGTCCTGCTCTTCGACTGCAGACCAACATGGCTACCCACCCGGACCTAAGACCGAGCCATCCTGCTCAAAACGACACAGATTGCTCCCCAAATGGTTATTACTGCATGAAAGGAAATGGTGGAAGAGCTACGGAGAAGGAAATGGTGGAAGAGCTACGGAGAAGGGCCGTGGCTCAGCGGTAGAGCATCTGCTTGGCGTGCAGAAGGCCCCAGGTTCAATCCCCGACGTCTCCGGTTAAAAGTGCCGGGCAGTAGGCGATAGGAAAGACCCCAGCCTGAGACCCTGGAGTCCTGGTGAGGTTGATGGATCGGTGCTCTGCTTCAGAATGAGGCCGCTGCACGTGAGATTCATGCGATTGTCCGAGAGGGACCGTGGCTCAGTGGTAGAGCATCTGCTTGGCACGCAGAAGGTCCCAGGCTCAACCCCCGGCGTGTCCAGTGAAAAGGCCCAGGCTGTAGGTGATGGGAAAGACCTCCGCCTGAGACCCTGGAGAGCAGCTGCCAGCCTGAGTAGACAAGACTGACCTCGATGGACCCAGGGTCTGATTCACTGTAAGGCAGATCCTTTTTTAAACTGGAGACGCCGGGGCTTGAACCTGGGAACTTCTGCACGCGAAGCAGAGGCTCTTCCACTGAGCCACGGCCCCTCCCTGTCCCCCTGTCTCCCAAGTGCTGAAAGGCAAAACTGCAGAGGATCTGGACAATCCTACTTGCATACAAAGGATCGTCCGGCTCGTCTGCAGTTTTGCCCTTCAGCACTTGGGGCCTTCCGTCCAAAAATGCGTCCAGCCCAACAGGGCCCCCATCTTCCGTTAAAAGGCACAGGCCCTAGTTTAAGCAAATCAGCAACTGCAGGACTGCAGCCATGCCCGTTTCACGTGCCGCGAAAGCCGATCTCCAGACGAAAGCAATTGAGGCAAAAAAGGGGGAAAGGAAAACGTCAAGTGTTATTGTTATTAAGAATCGGTGTTATTATTAAGAGGCAGAGAGGCCGCAGGAGTACTGAAATGACAATCAAAAGGAGGAGCTGAAGCGGTTAGCAGACAGAGAGGATTCGAAGAGGTTTCTCCGCTTGGGAGTCGACGTGTTCGGTGGAGGGCGGAGGCCTCTTACCAAATTTAACTCTTCGTTCTGCCTTACGGCTTCAGAATATGAATCATCAAGCTTTTTCTGCAACTCAGTCAAGAGATCTTTGAGCTGAAATGAAGTTTTCAGAAGCTTTAGGATCGGCTGCCTCATGTTACCCCCGTTTCCCCGCACCCATTCAGATTAGTATGTCTGTCTGCACTGAAGCCACAAGCGCAACAACGTCCCATTTACTTTTGCCAAGCAAGCATTTTATTACTGGGCCAGCCGAGTTTATGCTCGAAAGAGGGGGGGGGGGGGGGAGAGAAAAGCAATATGGTAGCTGCACCTGGGCAGGGCGTTTACCTCTCGGACTTCGGAAACGTACGTTGATCGCTCGATTTCTGCTTTCTCCAGTTCCTGCTCCAAGTGTTCTCGCTCCTTTTTAAGCTTCAAAAACAAGCCAAAGGTCATGATTCACACACACACACACACGTTCTCTTTCAGACATTTCCACGCGTCGATGGCAAGTTAACCTTGTGAACATAAAGCTGCATGATTCTCCAGCCTCGAGGCCTAAATTGGTAGTTAAACTTTACTCGTTGATTGGAATCTGAACCAATGGATCGGCCTCCTCTTACGCTCCACAGCTTGTTGAGGTTTTTGGATGCAGCACCCTACTTTGGAGTCAGCTGCCTGGATTTCTGTTGAACCAGGGCAGGCAGGAAGTTGGGGGGGAAACATTTTGAAAGTGAAATTACTTAGGAAAAGCCCGAGTGACTTCTATGGCTAAAACCACCTTTCCTCAGAAGCCAGTGCAGTGTAGTGGTTAAGAGTGTTGGACTAGTATCTTTTCTTTTCTTTTTGAAATTTTTTTTTATTTTATTAAAAGTAACTTACATACATTTCATCTACTTCATTTGCATACATATCAGAGTCATTTCTCTCATTGTGGTTTATATACAGATTAGGTATTGTGGGTTCCTGTCTGTTCCTCTATCCATTTATACACTTTTCCCCATCTCTTTTTATGTACCTTCTCATTTTTATTCTGCATCATTAAGCTTAGGTCGTCCATTCTGGCTAATTCTAATATCTTGTTCATCAGATCTTCTTTGGTAGGTAACCCTTCTGCTTTCCATTGTCGAGCTAGTAACAGTCTGGCAGCCGTTATAACATAACTAATTATGTATGAGTCTTGATTATTATATCCTTTCGGGATCATGTTTAAGAGATATATTTCCGGTTTTAATGCTACATTTTTACCCAGGCTTCTTTGTATTACTTCTCTCACCGTTTTCCAGAATTCTTGTATCTTACTACATTGCCACCACATGTGGTAGAACGTCCCTTTACATGTTTTACATTTCCAACATACATTTGGGTACCCCTTATAACATTTGGCTAGCTTATCAGGCGCCCAGTGCCATCTATGAAACATCTTATATACATTTTCTTTGTATGCTACCGCTCTCATGAACTTTACCGTTTTCCACATACTTGCCCACACTAGTATCTTGAAGACCCAAGTTCAAATCCCTGCTCATGCCATGGAAGCTCGCTGGGGGGCCTAACCTACCTCACAGGGTTGCTGTGAGGATAAAATGGAGGAGAGGAGAATGATATAAGCTGCTTTGGGTCCCGTTGGGGTATAAATAAAAAAAGTGGGATATAAATGAGATAAATAAGCTGATGTGCCCAGATGCAGCCCTTTGCAGAGGAAGAGATTGGCCTACGGTTGTGTATGCTCTGGCAACACCCAGACTGGATTGCTGTTAACCAGCTGTAGCCTGTACATGAGATTGCCCTTGCAGACGGTTCCGGAACTTCAGCGGGTGTAGAATGCAGCAGTCACTACTAGGGATGGGCACGAATTGCATTTCTGCAGTGCAGTTGGTGGTTCGTGGATGAACCGCGAAGCGAACCCTGAACCGAACCGGTCAGTATCTGTTCGTGAGTCATTTAAAGTTTAAATCCTGGCTTTCTGCTCCCCGCGGCTTTTCACAAGAAGCAGAACGCAGGGGTTTCCAAACAGCTGAGTGGTGTGGACTGCTGCTCAGATGTTTGGTTTAAACACCTCGGAACTCCCTGCTGCTCAGCTGTTTTTTGTGAAGAGAAAAAAGCAGGAGTAAATCCCTGCTTTCTGCTCTTCGCGAACTGCCCTATATTACTACGCTGGACATGGCCTTTCCTTATCAGACCATGTACAGTTATCTGTATATCACTGCCATCTGTATATATTAGCACCTTATGTAATTGTCTTTTAATTGTTAATTTTTATTGTATTTATTGGTTCTATTGTATTTTAACTGTGTAAGCCGCCTTGAGCCAGCGCTGCATCGGCAAGGCAGGATATAAATTGAAATTAATAAATAATAATAAATAAATAAGTCAGCCCTAACCAAAACAAAGCCAACTCACCAAATCAACTTCTTTGATTTCAGCCTTTAATCTTGCTACTTCGTGCTCCAAAAAGCTGACCGACGCGCGCATCTGCAATTAGGTAAGTCAAAGAGACACGTTTATTATTTTATTTATTCATTCATTCAACTTTTATCCCGCCCTTCCGCCGAAGCGGCTCAGGGTGGCTCACACATCATTGAACAAAAACTCTGCGTTTAAACAACGTGGGGGTGATTTTCCGTCAGCAAAGGGGCATCATCTGGATTTGGAGCATCTTTTTGCGCTGAGATGCTGGCAGGAAGTCATCCCTTTGACGATGGAGCTTCCCTTTTAGTAAAATGACTAAGAGCTGTGGAGGTAACCTGGTAAAGCGCACAGAAGCTTCCCAAGTTCAACCCTTGGGCTCTTCCGCATTCGCATTTTACTCGCTGTTGAGTTTCTGTTTCTTCGGGTTTTTCCCATATTCCGCATGCGTTCTGCTTCCTCTAGTAGTTGATTCAGTGTCCAACCGCTTTATTTCCAGTTGATTTCCCTGCAGTTTAAATCTGCAGGGAGATAAACTGGAAATGAAGCTGTTCGGTACCCAATCGACCACTACAGGGAACAATGTACACATGGAACAGGAAACCCCCCCCCCCAAAGGAAAAGGAACTGAACGGCAAGTAAAACGAGAATTCGGAAAAGCCCCTTGCCTCCTTCACTTAGAAGCTTTGATAGCTTGTCATGTTTAAAAAGCTTGCACCTGTTTCTCTGAGAGTCACAAGTGGCTGATGATGTTATTGAAAAAATGCACAGAGCTTTCGAACGTTCCAAAGATTGCCGGCGCTACTCAATGCTGTTTGCGGAGTATAGACAGAGGCTCAGAGCGCTGCAGGCAGAGTGCTCTAAGGGGTAGGGGGTAAAGTCCAGCAGCACCTTTAAGACGAACAAACTTATTTGTAGCCAGTGTTCCCTCTAAGCTGAGTTAGTGTGAGCTAGCTCACAGTTTTTCAGCCTCTGGCTCACACATTTTTGTCTCAGCTCAGGAAGGAGGGCTCCAGAGCAATGTTCCCTCTAAGCTGTGGAGTCTTGTGAGCAAAAATTCTACTTTGTGAGCTACTGGCATTAAAGTTGTGAGATAGCGATTTGGCTACTGCGTAAATTAGTTTGCTCTGGTGCCATCCTTCCTGAGCTAAGACAAAAATGTGTGAGCCAGAGGCTAAAAAACTGTGAGCTAACTCACACTAACGCAGTTTAGAGGGAACACTGCTCCAGAGCAAACTAATTGATGCAGTAGCCAAATGGCCCGCTCACCACTTTAATGCCGGTAGCTCACAAAGTAGATTTTTTGCTCACAAGACTCCACAGCTTAGAGGGAGCATTGTTTGTAGCATGAGCTTTCAAGAAACACAGCTCTCTTTGTCAGATGCTGTGTTTCTCGAAAGCTTATGCTACAAATACGTTTGTTGGTCTCAAAGGGGCTACTGGACTTTTTACTATTCTGCAGGAACAAACTAACATGGCTAACTCCTCTGGATTTATGACTGAGGGACAGAAGCGGCCACGGGAAGGCGTCAAAAATACCTGCTGGAGCTCCTTTTGTGATTCTTCGATTTTGACTTTCCACTTGCTCTCCTCCTCTTCCACGCTCCTCTGTAGCCTTTGCAAGATGCCCTCCTGAGTCAAACAGAGAACTGCGGTTATCTTACCGTTCTCAGGAAGCCGGCAAGTGACAATTCCGCCAGGCACAACCAGCACCGAAAAGAGGCTCTGCCTTACCGTCTCTGCAAGGACCGCTTTGTACTTTTCGCACTCCTGCTGCAGCATGATATGCAACTCGTCCGCTTCCTTCAACTTCTGCTCCATCACCTGTTAAGGGGGGGAAAGAAACCATCTCCTGAACAGAAGACACACTTCGGCGGGGCAAAGTCCCCGTAATGGGGACGGGACTTCACGGGGCTTCTCTGCGTGAGCATGCTCCTTGGGGAGCCCAAGAGTGTGCAGGTAAGCATTAAGTGTTCTTTTTTCCACCAATCGTTATATCTGGCCATATTCGGGAGGGGTCGCCGTGTTGGTTGGAAGCAGCAGAACGAAGTTGGAGTCCAGTGGGGCACCTTTAAGACCAACAAAAGTCTTATTCATGGGATACTCTTTCGTGTGCAAGCTCACTTCCTCAGGTACAGGGGAACAGACTCTCCTCAACCATTACTTAATAGGGGGTAGGGTGGGGGTTGTTCTCCGGAAGGGCTGTTTAGAGTCAAGATGCTTCAAAAGGGAATTAAGATAGGCATATGGAGCAGAGGTCCATCAGTGGCTATTAGCCACAAGGTATAGATAGGGGCTCTGGGGCAAATGTTGCTCTGTCTTCTTGGTGCTTGGGGGGGGTACAGTGGGAGGGCTTCTGGAGTTCTGGCCCCACTGGTGGACCTCCTGATGGTACCTGGTATTGGACTGGATGGGCCATTGGCCTGATCCAGCATTGGCTTCTCTTATGTTCTTATGTAAGTGCTGGGAGATTATAGCTGAGATTGGATGTAAGCCTCAAACCTTTGTTCCCACATCTGTGTTTGTAGACTCTCGTGTTTGTATGCTGATTTACTGCCATTCACACATCTTTCTTACATCACAGACGGAGCCATGGGGCATCCCCCCCCCTCCCCTCTTGTACGGGGCCTCTTCTCCTAGCAGTGACAGGCTCATCTGGGCAAAACAAGCACAGCTCTGTTTTTTCTCTCTCTCTCTCTGTGTCATTCCAGCTGGATTCTTACTGCTACGCGGGAAGGGCCTTTCTGCTTCTAACGGGCCCCCACAGACTGCAACAGGGGCGAAAACGGAAGATCCTGCAAAGGGCCCCGAGATTATGCCACCTGGGCTAAGTGCATCCTTAGGAGGGAACTCTCTTAAGGGGGGGGAGGCACTAAGGAAGAAACCCATTTCTTTGCCTACTGGTGATTCTGCGACGATAACACCAATCCCGATAAATTCAGGTTGGTCAGAAGCGGCGGAACAAAGTTTGAGTCCGGTGGCACCGTGGAGTCCAACAAAGTTTTGTCCAAAGTGTAAGCTTTGGTGTGCAAAGCACACTTTGTCAGACAAAACTGGACTAAAATCTCAGGAGCTAGTTATGGGGGGAAAGAGGGCAGGGGTAAGCCGCTAGGAGAGACCGCTCAGAGCCCAGAGGCCTTTGCAGAGCTGGGACTGAAATGGGTGGCCGGTAGGATCATTGGATGGCGGCAACGATCGGTCCTACCGGCCACCCATTCCAATTTCTTTCTTTCTTTTTTTTTTTGTGTTCACAGCTTTCTTTCTTTCTTTTTTTGTAAGTTTATTTTCCAATTTTTCCATTTTACAACCACCACACCGTAATCTCTGTGTTTTACATTATTTAACATACGTTAAAACATATAGACAACTTTGATCCTACATCAAGTAAAAAAAACAACAAGGACATGTACTAGCATTCCCCTCCTTTATTACCTAACTTATACCTATCTTTAGCCAGTCATATACTATTCCCCATCTTTCCCAAAAAGTCTCTTCTGGTTTATTTTTTAGGAACATATTCAGCTTATCCATCTCTGCTACTTCTAGAACTTTATATTTCAATTCTTTTATGGATGGTAAACTCTCTGATTTCCATCTCTTTGGCTATGAGAATTCTAGCTGCTGTTAATATGTATATTATTATATGCACATGATCTCTGATTGTATCCGGTAACATATTTAATAGATACACTTCCGGCATCAATGGAATATTAATTTTTATTACCCTTGGAAAAAAGTTATGAATTTTTTCCCCAAAATTCCGAATTTTAACACATTCCCACCATACGTGAAGATATGACCCTGTATTCCTTTTGCATCTCCAACATATCTTGGATGAACTTGGATAACACCTTGCAATTTTTACCGGTGTCCAATGCCATCTATATATCATTTTATAGATATTTTCCTTGTGGGGAGTTGCTCTTAAATATTTCAGCCCCGCATCTGCATCTGGGCTCTGAGTGGCCCCTCCTAATGGCGGCGCCCCCCCCCCATAACTAGCTTTTGAGATTTTATTCCGGTTTTGTCTGACGGAGTGTGCTTTGCACACCAAAGTTTACACTTTGGATAAAACGTTGTTGGTCTCAGAGGTGCCAATGGGCTTGAACTCTCTTCTACCAGTTCCGATAGTTCAGGTGACCCCAACCTTTTGGAGCCCGCAGGCGCCTTTGGAAATCTGGGGCAGGGTGGTGGGCTCGACCACAACATGGCTACCCCAGTAGGCGGAGCCAACCACAAAAATGTCAGGAAGTGAGGTCATGCATTAAGTCTAATAGTAACACTTCGACATTTTGGGAAGAAGCTCTGCCTAAAAGAATGCCTTTTAAAGTGAAAATATTGTTGAAAAATATTTTCTGGCATACACACAGTGGAAGATGCTGGAGTTATTGGCAGCTGCTGCCAAAAGCAGTATTTTTTTAAAAAAAATCTGCACAACCAATCATATCTCCTATTCTTTCTTTGTTGGTGCCCAGCTGTCTTTTTCACCCTGTGATTATGATGAAACCTGGAAGCCAGTTACTGGGTTTCTGAGACAGAATGAAGATTTTCCCATGTAGAAATTAGTACAGCATCCTGTTAAAATTGTAAGCTTATTGTCAATATAAGTTGTTATGTGGGTGGATGGAAATTTAGGTTTCACCTAGGTTTTCTTCTGCATCACAAATCGGCCGATAACATTATAACAGTTCTACTTTTGGAATTTTTAATGTGTGTGGTAACTTAATAATTAATAAAGAATTTTAAAAAGGAAAAAAAAAGATCTCCAACGGCCAATCAGAAGTCCTGCAGGGCAAAAGCCCCACCCTCTTTCTCAAAACACTTGGACGGCACCAGGAAAGGCGTCGGCCGGTGCCCCAGTCGGGGCCCCTGCCACAGCAGTTCCATGCTAAGTAGTTCCTGTTCAACAGCCTGGGTGTTTGGCACGATTGCAGCCTGTGCATCTCGGGAGTTCTGAGGCCGTTCCCCCAAGTACAGAACCAGTTGCTTTCTCGCTCTGCCTGAAAGGAACCTTCGTGAATGAAGATTAATCTAAAAGAAACACACAGAAAGCCGTCCGCACCCACCTTCGCCTCCTCCGATCGAGGCGCTTCTTTTGTGCGCTCCTCCTGCAACGCCTTTTCAAATCCTCGCATCCATTCTGCGTGGCTCTGCGGGAGACAGACACGGTCAGAGAAAGCTGCTGACCACCACAGCGGCCTTGCCAAGTTTAGAAAACCATGAATCGACCAGCTGCCGGTGGCCGGACTCCAGTCAGCAACTCCCATTTAATAGCAGCCGAACTCTTAGACCACGAGGGTTCCCCTGTTTAGCCCCCCAAAGACTTAAAATAAAGAGAGGCGGGGGCATAATCCGACTGGGGGCCTAGATATGGCAGGCGCCCTCCCTGCTGGAGCTCCCCAAATTTGCTTCTTTCACTTGTGCAATGAGGGCTCGATCCACCGCTAAAATACGAAAGTGTATCCCTGGGGGTGTGGGGGGGCAGGCGGAGGCAGACGTGAATTTCCTGCATCGTGCAGATGGCCCTTGGGGTTATAGAATCATAGAGTTGGAAGGGACCTCCAGGGTCATCTAGTCCAACCCCCTGCACAATGCAGGTCCCTTTCAGCTCTATGTCGTTACAATTTATTTATTTAATATATACCCCGCACCCCTGGGCTCAGGGCGGCTTACGTATTTGGTCAACAACAAGCCTTTATTACGGTCATAGACCAGTATAATAGAAGACAGATAAGTACAGATAAGGGAGCAATAAAATTATAAAATATTATGGCATCTAAAATTATAAATAAGAATCTAAAAGTGTTAAAATACAGACATGATAAAATCAATATTAAGATCAGAAATTAGATTTAGGCCTATCTGTACTTTATTTCTTTCCTAGTTTGGTATGCCAACCAACCAAATTTGGCAACCATCCTAGTCAGCTTTTGGTTATCCCCTGCCAGCATAGTTGACAAAAGTATGCTTCTATTACGACCTGGAAAGGAATTAACTATGGGCTTGATCAAATCTTCCCTAATGTTTTGATATATAATACAATCAAAAATTACATGTTCCAATGTTTCGTCAGCTCCCAACCCACATATACAACTTTTCCTCTGTGTTCTAGTATATCTTGCCTCCATTATGGCTGAGGGTAAGGCGTTGTATCTTAATAGGGTAAAAATTCTTCTGTGGTTGCAAATGTCTAAATATTTGATATAAGATCTCAAAGTTATCTTATTAAGTGTACTTACATCAAATACAGGGCTCCTAATCCTACTCACGTCCATCTGTCGTTCAACATCTAGTATTCTTTGTTTTAGAACTGATCTAGCCTGCTCATGTCCCAAGGACAGAATAAATTGTTTTGAAAAACCATAACAGACCAGTTTATCTTCTATCTGTTTCCGCCATAAGGGAACAAAGTTGTCTTGCATCATAGTATGGGAAAGGCCAGTGGATAAGAAAATCAGTTTTAACCAATAATGATTTGGTCTGTAAGTGACCATTCATTCACATAAAAACAGTTTAAAAATTCAATTACAATAAAACAAAGAGTCTCATAAAGTGCTGGTGCTGAAACATTCGGTACATAAGACGGCATGCTGGAAATACCATACTAATTACAATAGAATGACTCCAAAACGCGCAAATATTATAGAATCCGATATAACATGCAGTCAAAATGTAATCAGTCCATTGTTTTAATCTCTTTTCAACAGTGAAGACGTCAAAGATGAAAAGTGAAGACGTCAAATGAAGAAAGAATGGACGAACTTCCCCGGAGTTACCACTCGTTTTGAATTTTCTTTTTCATACATAAGATCTCAGCTCTGCATCCGCATAATCACAAGGTTTCCAAATTGGACTCTTTCTAGTTCCTAAATACTTCAAAAGTAGCTCACATCAGGCTCTTAGCCAATATATCTAACCCGGGCTGATCAGCTCCTAGTTGAAAGCCTGGCGGAAGAGCTCCGTCTTGCAGGCCCTGCGGAACTGCACAAGATCCCGCAGGGCCCTGATCTCCTCCGGGAGCTCATTTCACCAGTACGGAGCCTGCAACTGAAATAGCCACCGACTGCCCCGTCCTCCAATGACTGCTCTGTCCTTCTGCCTGAAACCTCACGGAGCCACTCCCTCTTTAGTTAGGCAAACCCGGCTTAGATGGGTCAACAGCCTGGGTCTAAGACGGCTTTACTGATCCATACGGGTGATGTAAGGGAAGCGCCTGACATCCCTCGAGGCTTGGACACCATACGCTAACACAGAATCATAGAACCACCGAGTTGGAAGGGGCCCTAGAGGCCACCTACTCCAACCCCCTGCTCAATGCAGGACCAGCCTCGAGCAGGGGGTGGCCAAACTGCGGCTCGGGAGCCCCATGCGGCTCTTTCACACATATTGTGTGGCTCCCGGCAGGGCGGCTGGGGAAGCAAAGGGGAGGGGAGGCATGCCTCCCTGATCGGTCTTCCCTTCCCCAGCCAGTGTTCCCCTCCCTGGGCTGGCTTGAGGCAAGGGGGGGGGGGAGCAGAGAAAGAGAGCAACTTTAAAAGCGTTCCCAAAGCACCCCCACCCCATCGAGCCCACAAATGTCATCGGACAAATAAATATCATTATCAATATCTGTTTTTACCCCTTTCGGTTTCATTTTCGGCAGTCTCGTTTAATGTTAATAAAAAGCAAATCTGCATGTTATCCAATAAAAACGTGTGTGTGATATTTCTTCGTGATTTGTGGCTCTCAAACACCTGACATTTATTCTATGTGGCTCTTATGTTAAGCACATTTGCCCACCCCTGGCCTAGAGCATCCCTGACGAGTGCTTGTCCAGCCGCTGCTTGAAGACTGCCAGGGAGGGGGAGCCCACCAACTCCCAAGGCAGCTGATTCCACTGCGGCACAACTCCTATTGTCAAAAAGGTTTTCCTAATATTCAGCCGGTACCTTCCCGCCCTTCATTTAAACCCATTCTTGCGAGTCCTCTCCTCCGCTGCCACCAGGAACAGCTCCCTGCCCTCCTCTAAGTGACAGCCATTCAAATACTTCAAGAGAAGAAGAAGAAGAAGAGGAGGAGGAGGAGGAGATTGGATTTATACCCCGCCCTTCACTACCCAAAGGAGTCTCAGAGCGGCTGACAAACTCCTTTCCCTTCCCCTCCCCACAACAGACACCTCTGAGGTAGGCGGGTCTGAGAGAGCTCTGACAGAACTACGGCTTGCCCAAGGCCATCCAGCCAGGTGCAAGTGGAGGAGTGGGGAATCAAACCCGGTTCTCCCAGATTAGAGTCCGCACACTTAACCACTACACCAAACTGAGAGCAATCATGTCCCCCCGCAACCTCCTCATAAAAGCAAATAAGTTGTTTTCAAGAGCCCGAAGTTGCCATCGTTGAAAAGCGAATAGCACGTGGCAGACCAACCCAGCCGGAGCTCCCCAGAGAGCTACCCTGATGGCGCTAAGCCTTCAAGCCAAGCCACCCGGTTCTCCAGCAACACCTATGAAGGAATCAGCTTTGCCCAGCTAGGGGCAATATAAGCAGAGGGGGACCGTCCGACTTACCAAGGTGGAAGGAAGGGAGACGGCAGGGAAGAGCTTCTGCAGGGTGGTTCTCGTCTCCTTCTCGACCGTCTCCAGGGACTGCTGCCTCTCCTGGATGGACACAACAGGGAAGAGAAGCAGGACAAATGAATACAAAAACACCGCTGAGAAAAATCAAGTCAGTCTCACCTCCAGGACAAAATACCGTTTCCCTAATTTGGTTCAAGAAAACGTTGAACAACAAAACCATTTTAACCGATGCCCTTCTTGCGTTCCTAAAACGGAGTCGCTTCAGGGGACGGGCCTCCATGTCATTTTGGACTCTGGCTGCTTTTCTAGGAGACGGGTCCGTTAAAGAAACAATCCAGTTCTAATAGGCCCGCCTCACCTTTTTATAGTTTCAGGTGGGCGGCTGTGTCGGTCTGCGGGAGAAAGGTTTGAGTCCAGTAGCGCCTGAAAGACCAGCAAGATTTCTGTGGTATAAAGCTTTTGAGAGTCGCAGCTCTCTTTGTTAAATATGACAAAGGTATCTAATAGGGATGGGCACGAACCCCGTCACGAACCTAAATTCGGGACGAACCTATTTGGTTCGTGGTTTGCAAACGGAGGTTGACGCCCATCTCTATCCACAACCCTCCACATGGTTTTCAGAGGTTCATGGGGTTTGTGGTGGGAAGTGGGGAGGGGAGCGAGCGAGATGCAACCCATTTCAGCAATCCCTTTCGCTCCCCCCCCCCACTTCCAAGCCCCTGGCATCAGGGAACTGCCACCAGCAGAAAGGAGGGAGCGAAGATTTCCATACTGCATCACAAACCTCATGAAATGAACTGGTTTTGTTAAAAGGGGAGGTTTGTGAAGGTTCGTGGTTCGTGTAACCCCACGAACCATGAACTGGGACGAACCTCCGTTTTCTCAGTTCGTGCCCATCCCTAGTATCTAACAAAGACCCTGACCTGGCTGGCCCAAGCTATCCTGATCTCATCAGATCATCGAAACTAAGTAGGGTCAAGCCCTGGTCAGTAGTTGGATGGGAGTCTGCCAAGGAATAACAGGGCCTCTATACAGAGGCAGGCAATGACAAACCACCTCCGTTAGTCTTTTGCCTTGAAAACCCCAAGGGGTTGCCATAAATCGTCTGTGAATCGATACCACTTTCCAGACACACATCTAACAAAGGAAGCTCAGAGTCTCCAGAGCTTATACCCTGGAAATCTTGTTGGTCTCTAAGGTGCCACTGGACTCAAATCATGATCTTCTGGGGCGTGAACTGCTCACGAGCCAAAGCTCACTTTTGTCAGATCATCTCAAAAGCGAACTTTGACTCCTGAAACCTTACACCCTGGAAGATACTGTTGGTCATTAAGGTGTTGCTGGACTTGGGATTTTGTTCATTTTTTTTTTATGACAGCAGAACATGTACAGTAAGGACGCGGACACCCTTCAGGGGCGGTGAAGGCCGCATTTCACTGTCCCAAACTAAAGATTGTTGCTCTGGACTTTTCAGCGCTTCTTCTGGCTATGTAAAATTTTAGGATCTATTCCCGGGACGTGCTGGCTTTAGTCTTAATGCCCATAATAACAAGCCACAGAAAGCAACATGGGCTTCATTTTTCTGGAAGGCCCAAAGCAATCTGGGAACCAAAGGGCTTGAGTCAAGCAATCCTACTCATGTGCCAATGAAGTCTCCATGAGAGCCAGTTTGGTGTAGTGGTTAAGTGTGCGGACTCTAATCTGGGAGAACCGGGTTTGATTCCCCACTCCTCCACTTGCACCTGCTGATGTGACCTTGGGTCAGTCACAAGCTCTGGCACAGCTGTCCTTGAAAAAGAGCAGTCTGTGTCAGAGTTCTCTCAGCCCCACCCACCTCACAGGGTGTCTGTTGTGGGGAGGGGAAGGGAAAGGAGTTTGTAAGCCGCTCTGAGACGCCAAGTGAAGGGCGGGGTATAAATCCAATCTCTTCTAGTTCTTCTTCTCCACGTAAAAGCTTCCTTCCCTGTGGGGGGGGGGCAACTGAAGTGAGTTTGATGGCTTTCCCCAGAAGCGGACACCGGATCCCATTAACCTCCATGTCGCCCCCCCCCCGAGTTCTGCCCTTCTATCAATAGGCTAACTAGAAATTCCACTCAACCATGATCCTGTAGGGTACGTCTGAAAAACCTGGTTGCACAAATCCAGCTACAAGTGATAAGAGAGTTTCAATTTCACTAATTTATTTCTTTGATTTAATTTATTTATATCCCGCCTTTCTCCCCAATGGGGACCCAAAGCGGCTTACGTTGGTCTCCTCTCCTCCATTGTATCCTCACAACAGCCCTGTGAGGTAGGTTAGGCTGAGAGTGTGTGACTGGCCAAAGGTCACCCAGTGAGCTCCCATGGCACAAGTGGAGATTCAAACTTGGGTCTCCCAGCTCCTAGCCCAATACTCTAACCACTATGCCACGCTGGCTCTTAATGCGTTAAGTGGAAGAACTCGGGTAGAGCTAAGGCAGGGTCTCACTTGCATGTAGATAGGTTCAGATGGGCCACCGGGTTGGTCTGAAGCAACAGAACAAAGTCTGAGTCCAGTGGCACCTTTAAGACCAACAAAGTTTGATTCAAAGTAGAAGATCTCAAGTGCACGCACACTTCCTCAGATACACTGAAATGGAAGTTATCAGTCCAGGCATACAGGTAGAGGGCGAACAGCAAATCAGCATACAACGTAATGAAGGTGTTTTAACAGACGTGAGAACCGAACAGGAATAACAAGCTAAGTTTATATGGCCACCATTTGTTTGGATTTAATTCTGGGGGGAAACACAGTGAAGCAAACAAAAATGCGGCGCAGTTGGGAGACTGATGTGTAAATGTGTCCTTCTTAATTGTGGGATGTTAAGAGTAATTAACTGAGACCCTGTTGTTAGGCTCCATCCATCTCCTCTCAAGCAGGGAGGGAACTAACCGCATCCTACTCTCTGAGATGCAGTTTTACGTCTCCTCCGTCACCAGACCGGAGAGATACATTTCCATCTACCATTCTAAATGCCATTACATTCTAATATTCATTGCATCACATTACAATCACTAATCCCAGTCTACTATTCCAGATAAGAAATACACACAATCTTTCCGAAAGAGTTTAAGGAAACGGATAGATACTTGATTGTATACATGTCAACGGCGGCAAGGATATTATATGCCAAATACTGGAAGATCCAAGAAACACCAACTAAACAAGAATACATTAATAAACTATTAGAAGCGGCGGAAATGGACAAATTAACCATGGAAATGAGAGGTACAAAGAAATGGACATTTCAAAAAACCTGGAAGAGGCTATATGATTGGTACAATGAGAATGGAGTTAAAGATTAAGCTGATATGGCAAAATTAACATTGGAGTGTGTAGCAATATATAATAATGGAACTAGAGAATATTAACAAATGTTAGAGAACAATGAAGCGATGGTGTAGATGTAGTAACAGATTGTAATAAGTCTCTTGGCCTATATGTTGTTTGTTGTAGTTGTATATGTCTGTGTGTAGGTATATAAGAAAATAATAAACGTGTACCTTCGGGTACTTTAAAAAAAAAAGAAAAGAAAAAGAAATACACACCCAACCACTGTTCTCTCTAAACTGAGTTAGGGTGAGCTAGCTCACAGTTTTTTAGCCTCCGGCTCACACATTTTTGTCTCAGCTCAGGAAGGAGGGCTCCAGAGCAAACTAATTTCTGCAGCAGCCAAATCGCCCGCTCACAACTTTAATGCCGGTAGCTCACAAAGTAGGATTTTTGCTCACAAGACTCCACAGCTTAGAGGGAACATTGCACTCAACCCTCCCTCAAAAGCGAACTCTCTTTAACTGAGGCTATGAGTCGTTTGTAAAACCGTATCGTGGGGCAGGCGCTATGAAAACCCTGACCTGGAGAACGAGATCCGTGATGACAATTCACTCACACTTGCAAGCCCTTCTCTGGATGGTACACTTGTCAACGTGTCAATGGGTATGCGGGTGAACCGACCCTTACTCCCAGTGACTTCTGTTGAGTCCCCTGTGGGGAACCATCCTACCCTTCTGCAACGAAACATCTGCATGCACAAACAGCCGCACTTGACTGGGTACACAGTGCAGGAACAATTCAGACAATGGTAAGCACTTAAAAGGTCTCAGCCGGGTTTGAATGCAAGAACTGAAAGGAGGAATCCCCCCCCCCCCGAGAAGGAACAGAACTTGTGTTGGATGTTACAAGTTTAAACACGTCTATTTCAGTATTTACTGGGTTAATACTGTTTGCTAGATCACATGTTTGTTTATAACCAATCTGTTTAGAGAGCTGGAAACCCCCGGCAACTTCAGATCTAGTTTGCTGTTCTGATTGGAGACGAGAGTGGCTAGTATTAGCATTTTATGGCTCTTTGTCCTGAGCAAGAAGACGTTCAGTCTCCATTAGACCTCTGCCATGTTCTGTCTAGCTGTAAGGATGTAGAAATATACCTCTTTGTTATTTTTCATCCCATATACCTTTTCCCCATGCTAGGTTGTAGTAAACTTTTATATTTTAAACACGCCATGGACTCTGACTCTTTAATACTTTGCTGAATGCTGATTACTCTGCTAATCAACTCTAGAAATTAATAACAATAACCCAACAACTTGTAAGAGTTTGACTGGATTGTGCCCCAACTGCGTTGGGGTAGGCAAGCTTAACTCACCGCAGTGGAGGCCTACTGCTATTTATTACCTTAGCTAGGGATGCTGGAACACACACACCCCTTTGGGGGATGGGCCCCCCGCTGCCAGGGCCAACCTTGCTGCGCAGATCAGCTTGTTGGTGGGGTAATTATCCTCCAGACAAGGGAAGAACACCTGACATTTCAGCGACATGCCTACGTGACTTACAGATGGACCCAGAGGTGACGTAGGCATGTCAGGGCAATGCTCTGGTTTTTGGGAAAAAGCTACAGTAGAAGCTAATTCTACCATAGAGTTTTCGCCCCCAAACCAGAGTGTCTCCCCTGACACCACCAACATGCCTACATCACTTCCGAGTCATACTGGAAGTCACATGGGCACGTCCAGGGCTCTTTTTGTAGAAAAAGCCCAGCAGGAACTCATTAGCATAATAGGCC